ATATTCCTGAAAAGAAAATTAACGTGGAACTAACTATACAAAGATTGAAAATCTTTATTTATAGATGTAAATGACATTACATGCGCGGATCTACCGGTAGATGGAGAAGGCCCGGATCATTTGGAATCGAGTTTTCATATCCTTCTAGTAAGGTAATGAAAATGTCATCTTAGATTTGACCACGGCTCCCACCGATCCAACAAAAATACGGACCTCTTGTAAAATTGACAGAAGTTACTTATGTGTATGCAAGGAAACGACTTGTCAGAACTCCCTATCAATCACGCCCACGTGATTAAGCCGTGGGAATTACATTGTACCATTGTGTTTCTAAATCGCAAAACGAAAGGAAAAAAGGGAACGGAATGAAAACGGAAAATATCTCACCAAGTTACATATTTGGCACAGATGTAAATCGAAAGAAATTAGTATTTCTTCATATAAAACCGCATTGTTAATTATCATTAGAATATGATTTATTGATGATTTATTCCTTCGTAGGACATACTTACTATACACATAACCAATGACTAATGCGAAGAAAGAGGGGATTGTAGTCTACTTGTGTGCCAACTTATTTTGAAATCAAACTAAAACTGTAGAAGGAGTAGTGTTTTAAAGAAATTTCACGGAAAATTCTATTTTTAGTAACCATGGCAACACCGTTCATTGAAATCAACAACCAATGCACTATTCTATGTATCTTAGTGTAGTCTACTTGTGTGTCAAGTTATATTGAAATCAGACCAAAACTGTAGAAGGAGTAGTGTTTTAAAGAAATTTCACAGAAAATTCTATTTTTAGTAACCATGGCAACACCGTTCATCGAAATCAAAAACTGATGCACTATTCTATGTATATTAGTGTAGTCTACTTGTGTGCCAAGTTATATTGAAATCAGACCAAACCTGTAGAAGGAGTAGCGTTTTTAATGAATTTCACAGAGAATTCTATTTTTAGTAACCATGGCAACACCGTTCACCGAAATCAAAAACCGATGCTTTATTCTATGTATCTTAGTGTCGTCTACTTGTGTGCCAAGTTATATTGAAATCAGACTAAAATTGTAGGAGGAGTAGCGTTTTAAAAAATTGTTTACAGGCAGACGGACAGACAGACAGACAGACAGAGAGACAGACGGACGGACGACGGACGCATTACTATCGCATAAGCTCTTCTGGTCTCTGACCAGTAGAGCTATAAATGAGCACAATATAATAAGTTAAAATATTTGTTTTGTTGATTTGTGAAGTTTCATTCCATTCGATTTAACAGAAATGCCATTGATTATGTTTCAATAAAATATGTTTAAATAAAAAAAATCAATTTACTTCATTTTAACATCAACATAATTTGTGACCGCGGAGCACTCTCAACGGCGATGGAACGTCAAAACATAGCGTCAAGAAAAAAATACTCTCCTTATACATTTCACACAGAATAATAAAATGCCTACTCATTAAATCCTTTTTCTTATATTTGACATTTATTTTTTTTAAGAATTGCTGTAGTTGTATATTTTCCTTTGATAAGGTTTTAATTTCTTTCATTTCTTAACTATGCTTTTACAGGATAAGCGCCTATGTCTTAAAGTTTTTGTTCAGATTTTTTCCCACCGATTGTTCTCATCCGAAACAGAGTCTCTGTAATTCAAATACTGCCTGTACTATTTGTACACACATGCAAAACTCGCTTGTGACATTTTTATTGATTCCTCCAACATTTTTAGAGTTTCTTCAGGATTTTTCCTGAGTAAAACACAAAATTGCATCGTTATCTGCTGCTCCGAGACGTTCTAAAACGTCATCGTTTTTGTCGTTTTCAATGAGGACTACCTATCTTCTCAAGTTGATTTCTTTTCAACAAAGCAAAATATAAAGCCATAATTTGGTATACGAATTGATGTAACAATTCTTTATTTGAATTTTTAGGTTGTTTTTCGTTTTTACCCCATTTTACAGAGAAAATGGCTACAGACATAATTAAGTGTATTGTTTGTAACTTACTAAATTTTGACCTGCTCCGTGATCCGATTTTTGCATTCTTAAAATCACAACCCTCGTATTAATTTGTGATATTTAAGAATTATAGAAGCGTACAAGGCGAGGGAAATCACACATTATCAGAGGGTATATATATCATTCCTGTTCTAAAAGTCTATGACAAAATCCATTTTTTGGACATAACATGAAATTCTCTTTTCTCATTGTTTTATTTATTAATAAATACTTTATTTTTCACCTATTTTGTAAAAAAAAAAATTAAAGACTGAGAATAGCCATTACGATTCGAACCAACTCCAAACCTAACTTTGATGTTTGACGCATTAATCTTAAAGCTACGCTGTCTTTTAGCAGTGGAATTGTGTCTGTGTGTTTGAAAAACGAGGTTTTTGAAGCATATATTAAAAATGTTTAACTTTCATAGAAATAGGTTGACAGTCCATTTTTAAAAGCATAAAATATAATGTTAAATTTATTCTCCACCATTTCAACGTTTGTATATAATAGAAACTACGCATTTAAAATAGGACTTTTAAAGCTGAATAGATGAATGCTTTAACAAACGGCTTAAAAAATCTATCAATCAAAAAGTGATTCAATAAAATTTAAAAATAAAATTAGTTAAAGATTATATTACTTACATCACACTATTGGAAAATTACAGAGGATTTTCCTCACATTGTACACCCCCATTCTTTATTTACAAACACATTTTAACACATAAACTATATTTGACAAAAGATTGGGGTTTCTTAGCAATGATGTATTCAATATATAATTGTATAAAAGAGTTTTTGGAATTTTTTTAATAGCAAGCTGATTGTTCAATGTGTACAGACACTTACGAAGAGTAACTGGGGTTCGGAGCGATGTACCGTATGTGGAAATTTTAGCGAGACGCAAATTTAGCGATTTGTCCGAATTTTTAAAGAAAGGTATAATTCTACAGCTATATTTCCCGTATATTTTTCTTAAGAGAATGTCATTGATTTTATGTAATTTTAGCGATTTCAAAAAAATGACACTACTTTCTACATCCTGGGTATATGGAAATATCTTATCCTCTCTATAAAACAAGCTATTACAAAAATAAAACACATTATATAAATTTTTAGAACTTCTACAATATTCAATATTCATAGTTCCTCATGCTTTCTAAGGAAGAAATTCTTCAACATCATATGTCAGTTTCGAATATTTTTTATATCCCTATGAAATTACTTCGCTATATCCGTAATTCGTTATAACCGTATAAGAAATTCATTAAATTTATAAAGCTGGGGTATATTCTATATCCGTAAATTCGCTATACAGAAAGTTTTGCTGTATACGTTTGACATGCACTAAAAATTAATAAGAACAAGACAAGAAATATATTACAAATATTGAATATTTTCTCTACAATGGTATATTAATGTGTCAATAGTAGGGGTACCCGGAGCAGTCGCGGAATCAGATATTGAAAATATGTAATCCCAAAATTCTAATTCTTCGTGGATCCATAATGAGAGCGAAAATAATTTAGTTTAACTTTATGATTTTTCAGCTTTGTTTCAAATTCATGTTGTGCAACTTTGATAGAATTTTGATCAGAAATACGGAGATCATAAAAAAATTAAGCGCGGTCGAGAAATCTGCTAACAACGACAAAATAGATTTTGACGTCAAGGGCGGGGCAGCCAGCATACCTCAAATTTTGTGTAGCGCAATGTAGGATTGAACGACCTGCTAAAACAATAAAAATGAGAAAAAAATAATGTTAGGGATTGTTATTTCATTGCTATACATTTTTTTTTTACAATTAATTTAACCAGAGTAAAAGTAAAAGATCTGGACGACCATGGGTTATTACGTACAGCATTGATTTCGTTACGGTATTAAACTGGCGTTGCATAAATCGGCACTGTATGATTCTAAATCATCCTTTCCCATAAATGACAATTTTTCACTGATGTAGCAACAGCATACATTTTTAAAGAATAGTTTAAGAAAAGAGACTGTTTAATTTTTGTAATGTTTAATGTAATAACAAAGTGGTGTATTAAACGCTACGTTTCACATGCGAAACAATCTACGGCTAACGTGACGTTAAAATGACGTATTGATTGCCCGATAGACTTATGCATATTTATTACTTCAAAATCTAATTATCATAAGTTTTGAAATTTTTAATATCGTTCTTTATAAGATATTGATGAATTTTCATGAAATTATTTCCGTCCTTTATGGATATATATGTCTCAATAATTTCCGAAACTCGTATATATTGGAATCAAAACGTACAAACAAAGATACATTGCCTTCCATATGGTTATAATGGCAAACCAAGACCTCAAAATAAGTGTCAGATCAAAAAGTAAAAAATAAGGTGCACGATGGCATTATGCATACGGAGTTTACTTATTTCAGTGGTATTAATTTACGCTATGTAGAGTCACAAATTTTGCGGAAATTTATCCAAGCGTACTTAATATAAATATAAGGCATATAGTACAACGAAGTAAATTAATTTTCAGCCCGCGGACAAAGGAAAATTGATGAAATTAAGAACTTCGTGAAAAAAGTACGTCTACAGTAAATTAAAGAATCTGTGAAAGAATCATTAAATTTTATTAAGTGGTATAGGAGGACTTGAGGATAAAAGATGGATACCCTTTAGTATTACAGAAGGAATGACCGTGTCCATGTTTTGCTCTGCGAGACCCAAAATATTTTCCAATCAAAAAGCAAAATAAGAAATGCACAGTGGCACTATGTAACAAAAATTCTGTAAAAGTGTCATTAAAATCCTTTATTTATACACTGAATTGTACGTATAACAAAGGAAAATTTTTACTTATTTGAAACCTTGCAACATGGCTGCAGGAGCACATGGCTTGTGTGATTTCATTGTGTCCAAGTTATATTGAAATCAGACTTAAACTGTAGGAGGAGAAGCGTTTTGAAAAAAAATTGTTTACAGACTGAGGGACAGACGGACGGACGACAGGCACTTTACTATCGCATAAGCTCTTTTGGTCTCTGACAGACCGGAGTCGTACATCCAAATAGAACTACATCTACTCGCTATAAAAAAAAGACTTCTCAAAGACTCATACCATACAGAAAAGGAATGTATATCCTTTATACCTAACTACTTTTGATGATCTTTTCAAGACAAAAAAAATTAGTTAAATCATTTTAACTATCCTGTCGACTGAATCTTTCTAACAGCGTTGATAACCCAAAGGAAACGAAAAGAAACAAACCTTGACTTCCAGTAAAGACAATATGAAGGAAAGATAATATTTGGAGCTGAAGAATCTGATGTAGGAATCCCAAAAGCCAGGCAGAACCTGTTAGAGCCGAAAGTTTAAAATAAATCTTAATCCTATGCTTTTCGTTGTTACTTGAAATGGGGTTATTTTCCTTTACACGTATCTCTCTTATAATGATAAAAAACATAAAACTATTCAGTGTTACCATGACGGCAATGGGTATTGAAAATGTACAGAGATTAAGGTACGGATGTGACAAGTAACAGGTCAACAAAGAGTACCCAAAATTGTTATCCATGTAGACAAATCGACTGACTAGAACATTCACAAGCGTCATCACAAGAGGGATGAGAAAGCTGCATGCAACGTTTGCTAAACGGTGCAATATGGGTGACGTACTCGGTCTCTTAATTGTCCAGGAAGTAAAGGCTCTAAAGATTGAGAAACAAGACATGCACATCAGATTAACTACCCCAAGCCAAAGAAACTGAGTCAATCCGCCAACAAACAGGCAGAGTGAAGGATAAAAGCTGGAAATTTTCGACAATGAGTACGCCAAGTTGGCAAGGAGGAGAGTAAATGATAAAGCAATCGTGTTATATTTGAATGGAGAATTCGAATTTTGGATACAGGTATTTGCAACCAGAGTCCCTATGCATCCTGAAGAAGAGATAATTGTACAAACCAAGGACAAATATTTTTCTTCTGTATTCTCATCTATGATTGGCGCGGAAATGTTTCTCTTAACTCGGTACTGTTCAACGCAAACCAAGACTGTGCTCTTATCATCCGACTCGTGAAAATATTTGGAATCTATGTAAAAATCAAAGTCAAGAAAATAAAGAGTAAAGTTAAGTATAAGAACATGAATTTTGCGCTTATCTATTATAATTCTTGGACAAATCGACCAGGCAGCGATAATTGTAGTGTCATGTAGCGAGGAAGGGGACAGGCAACTAACTACTTTATTTGAATCTGTATGTGTAGAAACACCTGTATCTACCCATTCATTTCTCATTATCATGATGTCTTTTGTCATAGGATTACGAAAATAAGGTACCATACCTTCTTTTTCAAAATATCCAGAGAAAGTTTGTCCTACATGTCTTACGACAAGGTTAGATGTAATAGAGCCATCGATCTTATCCAATCTTTTGTTTAGAAGGTAAATAAAGTCTCTATATTTATGCCATGTTGAAACGGAAAGTTTGATTACTACGGCCCAATAATAAAATTGTGTTCGCCATAACTTCTCATTGGGATAATACAAAATTGAAAAAGAACAAAGATGGTTCTTTAGACTGTTCAAAGAAATAAAATTTTCAATGAAAATTCGCAAAAGTGTACCAGTGTCTTTTTGGCTTGATGAATGGTTGGATGTTGGAATAAAAAGGAAATTGATTTCGTAGTTGCTTAATGTAATTGTGGAAAGAATGGGAATACACTGCGATTTTTCTATCTTCATTCCTTCTTCACAGACGATGGGGATACATTCATCCTACAATAAAATCGTACAGTGTTTGATTAATAATGCCAGATTATACATACAATTGTCGCATTCTTTTTTAAAATGACGGTGTTTTTACTGCTAAAATATGACCTATAAAAACGTCTACTTACTGTAGACGATTTTTTGGTTTGTTTAAAAAAGACCTACATTTGTTTTCCTGTTGAAATCATAATAAAGGCATTTGTATATGTCACTCTTATACAGAGGTTTTGAATTGATCAGTCCATAGTTTACATATAAAATGAATAGATATAGCATGTTTTTGCCGACTCTGTTGAAGTTTGTCTAGATAATTTAGTAATGGACACAAACTGCTCCGGTGGAAAGAAACAAAAGGATATGAAGAGCATGTTCTGCTGTATTTGAAAGAGTGTTTGGCACATTATCGGGAGATTACCGACCCACGGATGCCGTACCAATTCTAATTATAAAAGCTTTTCGATATCTCAAAAGAGCTATATTCCTATCTAGCATTTTATCTTTACTTACTATATAGGGTTCATACAGTGAATCTTTGGAACACTTTGTGCCTTCACTTGGTGCTGACACATCCCCATTCTCTCTGAAATCAATTAAAGCTGAAAAAGAAACCAGACTGAAGGGAGATTTCAAGTCAAAGATCTCGCCCGAAGACACACACTCGATTCCTAATGAGTTATTCCAGTCAGGGACATTGCACATTGCACAGAATATATTTTTGTACAAATTTCTCTCAAACGCAGAAATGCATTCTAGATAAACGTCCACAAAGTCTGCATGACACGCGTTAAAAATAATGCTGTCGAAATTTTTCCATTGTCCAGTTTCATTACAATTACTGACATATTGTTTTTCAGGGAAGCAGTCTTTTGCAAACGTAGATGTTTGAGGAACAAAAATCACATTGCACAAGGTATTTTTATGAAAAACAGTTGATTGGATTTGATCTAAAGATTGGGTTTGTAGAAGTGCCTTTCTGGATGAGCAAACAATTACCTGTCTCCATGGAACGAGACTGCTCAAAGATTCGCCGTTGCAAATCGCACAGTCAAGATTTTTGAAGCTTTCATTGGAAAACAGAGAAAATACTGGTTGGTATAAGTCCAAGTCCGTTATTTGTGATGAGTTTTCACATCTTAGGTGTGTATCGGAGTCTGTGTAATTATAAGGACATTGAGAAACCATAAAGAATGCATCAATGGAGCGTGTTAATCTTTTATCATTTACTTGTGATGTGACACATTGTTGAGGTATATCAATGTACTTAGATGGTGTGAACTGATCATTATCCTTATATGTTATATAGTCTGGGGTTAGCTCTACATCTTGCTTGTAGTTCCTCCAAGGGCAACAGTTTTTCTTCCTTTTACATTCATATCCACATTCACAATGAGAGCAACTTGTGAATGGTAAAACCGCCGTATAATTTCTCCTGTATTGCTCTCCAAAGCACATGTCTTGCCCCGGACAAAATAAAAGGTAGGTCTGAACGTAGAATCTAATTGTGTCATTTTGGATCCATTCTGTCATGTTCTTCACGACTTCCCGGTCTTGTTTAGTGGGCCTTCTAGATGCGCCTCCGTTCATCCAAGGATGGAAGTTATATGTAGATGACGTACATGGAATGCACGCAGCAAGCATGAATACTAGAATAAGTGTACCCTTTAAACAAAAGAAAGGAAAAAAAGAGTAAGAATTTTTCTTAAACAGTGTTAAAGATGGCGTTTACTCAGGGTTTTTGTAAACAGGAACGGAAAGCTATGAAGTACATTATGATGGATCAAATTGTTCTAAATGAACGAAATAACCATGTTATACCTCATTATCATAGTTTGATATTTTATTAATTTAAGAATATCTGCAAGAAGAAAAGAAAAAAATATTTGGACTTGCAATATCATTAATAAAATTAAGACTTTATGTGTTTTTAAACACCATTTTGCAAATATTATAGATGTTAAAGCTCATGTATTATTTCAAATAATTGATTTACAGTCATTGCAGATTTTAAAAATGAACCGACAAAAACCATTCCGGTCAAGATATCCCAATATCCTGATCATTGATCTCATATAATTTTAATTCCAGGAAATGAGGGTGACTAAAGTAAACCGAGCTCAGATACAATATAACTTAGAAGTCCTACTATTCAGATTTATTGATATAAGATTAAAAATGGGTACAAAAAATTAGAAAATCGACAGAGGAAAGTTGGACTGGAACAATTTATAATTCTATTGTTCAAACCCCAGTTGCTTATTCATAGGTAGTAAAATTATTCTATTCATATACTAAGCATTTCATTATCCAAAGAATATTATTACTTGTAATTTTCTGGTAGAAAATAAATAATTTTAATCACAGTGTGAAAATTGGGATATTTTCAAAAAAAAAAAAACACCTGTGAGGCTACTATATAGCAGGAAAAGTAGACCATTGACCTAGTTATCTGAAATTGAATACGAGTGTTGTCCCAGAAAAACGCGAACGTTTTTCATATTTGTTGTTTCACTAAACGCGAACTTTTTAAATATTTCATAAACTACTGGACCAAAATTATTCATTTTTGGCACAATATTGGGAAAAGATATTTTCGTAATTTTGGCTTAATAATATAAAGTTGTGACGTAATATGCATTTAGAAACAACATTTAAAGGGTGTTAAGTATCAGTGGTCTGCGCACGGTAATTTCGTGACTTTCAAAATGAGCACTGATTGCGATCTTTTCTTTACTATCCGACTATACGGAAATTGATTGAAATTAAATCCTTAGATAGCCGACTGCTATTCTGAATGAATCGTTGATCTACGATAAAAATGTTATTTATAGAGATATTTTATTAAAATTTATGTGAATTATGTAAAAATGTCGATTATGATGTTTACCCATATTTAACTTTATAATATTAGTGAAACAACAAATATGAAAAATGTTCGCGTTTTTGTGGGACAACCCTCGTATAACAAAAATGTGTAGTAGGCCTTTCAACATTTTTACGATATGGTCGTGATATAAATGGACTCATTGAGAATATTTCTTGGAAAGATAAAATATCTTCAATATCTTCGTTTTAGACGATTGGAAAATCTCAGATGTGACAGACCTTGATCGACAAAAATTGGCAAGACTTGTTATTTCGACAAAATCTTTTCGCTTTGCGGTTCCCTCGGGTGAGACATTCAGTTATTGAATGGGTATGAGGGCAACATATGATTTGTTGGACCTGAAGGTGAAAATGTTGCCCGAGGCTGCAGGCCAAGGGCAACATTTTCACCTTCAGGTCCAACAAATCATGTTGCCCGAATCCCAGTCTATAACTGTTTTTGATATACCCTTCAGTGCTCACTTAAGATTTAATCAATACACACTATATTATCAATTACCTTATATGGAAATTATGGCTTAATCAGTAAATATAAAACAATAGCTGAGAAAGAAAAAAATTAGTTATATTTTTATTACATCACAAAAATTATTTATCACAAAACATACTCCTCCCTTCTTCCTTGCTAGTAGCAACAACTCTTGCAGCTATTAACTTCGGCTATTTCCGTGTCGCGGATATTGAACGATGATTAATTACTTGTGACGTAACTGTGACGTTGCGGTCTAACATTTCTTATGTTGGACCAGCAGGCCGGTCAATAGTGAAATTGTTAGACCGATGTAATAAGCATTTCTTTTGTTGGACTTTTTATCAGTAATAAATATATAGAAAGCTATTTATAAAGGTATAACCAAAAAAAAAAAATGATGCCCAGTTAAGCGATAGGTGCTGGTACGATAGAGATATTTGAGAGCTCAATGACCATGGGTGCCGAGAAATAGTTAGATTTGAAGCCTCCTCCCTAGAATGTAGTGACGTCTCTGCATGAACAAACTAGGTCGATACAATGATCTTGTCAGTAAATAAACAATCTATCATTCAGTCAAATAATGACTGACGTTTTTCATGCTTTTGTTTCACCATTATTTAAACACTGATTTTTCGACAGATATTTTCGTTATTTCCAAATCATGACAAGGAGCATAGGTCATGTGACTGGTCGGCAGGGGATGCTCACTCTTAGCACATTCCACCTCTGATGTTTTGGAGGTCCGTGTTTACTCCTTCTCTGATTTGCATTGTCGAATTGACTTTTGAGCTTGAATACTTTCGTTATATCATATACCTAGTAGTGTATCAGCCCTGAGACAGGCATTTTGGACTACGCGAGACAGCGCCTCGGAAGTAGGGCTGTCTCGCCCTCAGGGCTGAGATATCTCTGTCTCGGCCCGTCGTCAAGGGGCTGTCTCGCCCCCAAATTTCAAATCATTATTTCTGTTTAATTTGTGTGAATTAAGAGTAAAATTCATATTTAAGTATTAAAGAGAAACATTATATACCGAAAAATTTAACCAGATTCTTTAAAAATATTTAGTTTTATCATATACTTAGTAGTAAATACACCGATTCTGCACGGTGTGATACGGGTGACGTCACAATACCCCATATCACGGACCGGTCCGAAAATCCATATCACGTATCGGACCGGCGGGCCGAAAATCCATATCAAACCGGAAGTAACGTTTGTATAACGTTTAAAAGTCAATTTACTTGATTTTATTTTAATATTCATAACAAATCTTTCTTTAATGACATTTATGGCCTTAATTGTTTTCAGTTACCTAAAATAGGCTTTATTAGATTTTAGAGAGAAATGTCACAAACAAGCACGAAATATTCATCAATGACCATATGTGAACTTGCATATTAAGTGTTTTAAATATATGATAAATACAATACTACATACTAAAATCCATATCATATGTCACATCAGCCCTCGGGCCCCATATCAGCCCTCGGGCCTCCGGCCCTCGGGCTGATATGGGGCCACTCGGGCTGATGTGACATATGATATGGATTTTAGTATGTAATATTCTCTATTTATTACACACTTAGTAATAAATACAGGTTTTTTGCATATGCGATATGGCTGACGTCACAATAGCCGTATCAACCCTGCAGGGCTGATATGGATTTGCGGGGCTGATATCCGTATCAGCCCTGCAACTCCATATCAGCCCTGCAGGGCTGATACGGCTATTGTGACGTCAATATCACACCCTTAGTAAATTAAACCACAATAACAGTACTTGTACTCATACACAATTTTTGGTGGGTTCATATTCTCTTAATTTTAACTTTTTGAAAATAAGGTTAATCTTAATTTACAAATACATGTAATACTATAGAATATTTTCAAATTACGGATCAAGTGCATTGAAATAGAAATAGAAACAAACCCAAATCTTATGAGACATTAGACTATGTACATGTATGTAAGAAGTCCATGCATGATTATTTACTTATTTTCTTCTCAACTGTATTTTATTACTAAGTATGTAATAAATATAATAAAACATACCCTTTTCCATATCACATCCTGTATCAGCCCTCGACCAATATCAGCCCTCGGGCCTTCGGCCCTCTGGCTGATATTGGTGTCTCGGGCTGATACAGGATGTGATATGGAAAAGGGTATGTATTATTCTCTATTTATTACACACTTAGTAATAAATACAGGTTTTTTGCTTATGCGATATGGCTGACGTCACAATCGCCGTATCAGCCCTGCAGGGCTGATACGGCTATTGTGACGTCAATATCACACCATTAGTAAATTAAACCACAGAAAACAGTACTTGAGATCATATACAATTTTTGATGGGTTCAAATTCTCTTAATTTTAACTTTTTGAAAATAAGGTTAATCTTAATTTACAAATACATGTAATAGATTATTGTCAAATTACGGATCTAGTGCATTGAAATAGAAGTAGAAACAAACCCAAATCGTATGAGACAATAGACCATGTACATGTATGTAAGAAGTCCATGCATGCTTATTTACTTATTTTCTTCTCAACTAAATGTATGCTGTATTTTATAACTGAGTATGTAATAAACATATTAATACATACCCTTTTCCACATCACATCCTGTATCAGCCCGAGACACCAATATCAGCCAGAGGGCCGAAGGCCGAGGGCTGATATTGGTCGAGGGCTGATACAGGATGTGATATGGAAAAGGGTATGTATTATTCTCTATATATTAGAATTTTGAGAAAATTGTTTTTAAAAAATGCGCCAAATGATAGCACTTGTGACGTAAGAGAGGTAACTCTTAACAAATCATGTTTTTAAAAAATGGACGATTATTTGCTTTGACAGTAAGACAATACAAAGTTTTCATGTAATTTCCCATCTTTAATTTAATATATATCGTAAACAAAACAAACAGTTACTATAAATCTCAGATTTACAAATTGTCCCGATTTGTTGAAGAAGTTGTAACACCGGTTCGATCCAAAGTGAAAGTAGAATATTTTTTAAAGTTTTTGACCTTTTTAAATCTTCGTTATCTAATGTGCTTCGAAATGAAATGTTTCAAAACACCAGAACTATTCTTTTTAATGACTAGACCATGCAGGTAAATCTTTTTCTATATGATTATTCTACGATGGCCGATATCAGCCTGTACATATTTCGACTGCTATTGAAATTTGTACATCTAAAATGTACATTGACATGTACATTTTGCATTGACAGTGCACACTTTATGCTCTTAACTTTTGTCTGTACATGTACAAAATGACAAAAAGGCAAATGTCAAAACGTGAACGGTTGAAACACATATGCTTCTGATTACAATTCCTGGTCGGCGAAAAACGATTAAATATGAATTAAATTGGACAAGGCACTGAGAAGATTAATTTT